CATGTTCCTCGTTTACCGTATACTTGTCTAGTCCTAAAGTATATGTGTATTTATGCGTTGTTGATGGAAAGATTACCTTTGTTAGTGTTATTTATTTAATGCCACTCTTTCTAGGAAAACAACGTTCCACATGGTAGTCTTCATCAGTAGTAAAGTTTGAGAAATTGATAAAGGTGGACAAACACATGTTGTTGTTGTCATCACCAATGTTAACTAAGTAGAACATGAGTCTGGAAACAACAACAACCATAATTGTTTACATACGCCCAAAAACATCAATGGTGTACATGCTAATTCAACTAAGATGAATTATCAACTTCCCTCTCACTATCTTCCAATGATGGGAATGATATTGATGAGAACTTAATCTTGTGGAACTACACCAATCATCTTTATAACTAATAGATATCCAAAGACTCTTATGCATTGCATTTTATTGTATTAGTCCTTTAAAAGTTCAAACAAAATAAATAAATTAATTTTTTATGTCTTCTTTAGTGACATTAAATTTTATGTTAGATTACATCTCTACTTATTTCTTTCTACCATTACACGTCTACTTTCGTTTAGCATATTCAAACACGAAAATCTAAATTTATTATTATTTAAAAAAAATTATAAAATCTATTAAGTCAACAAATAAAAAATTTAGGAAAATATTAAACATTTTTATTTTAAATTCCATTCAATAAGACTTAAAAATGACTAATTTTGTTTTGAAACAAGGACTTTGATATAAAAATTATATATATAATATCTATAATCTAATTTTTTTCTCTCTCCTCATTTAATTATGATATAAAGTATAACATTTAATATTTTTTTGGTCTTATAAATATAATAAATTACATTTTAAGTCTCTTTAAAAACAAATGTAGGTTTCATGTTCCCTAATGTTTTTCTTTATCTTAAAAAGTTTCTGCATTTTGCTATTGATAGAAAAGAGTTACAAAACCAAGGAATAAAATCAGTGGCAAAAAATAAAAATTTCCTAAAAAACTTATATAACGGAAATTAATTTTAAAATATTATAAGTATTAATAAGTTATTTAACCCTTAATAATATATCTTATAGAGTGTAGACGTATTTTTCTCTACTTAAACAACTAAATTTTCTAGTGAATAGATAATCTAGAAGGGAGGCTACAATCCACATCTAATAATAATCTAGATGAAAATCCATAATCCAATGGATTAGAACCAAATCTCTCACATTCTAAACAACTATAAATAAATACCCTACCACATTGTTATTCTCTGCATTATAAAAAACATATCACTAATAATGGCGCACAAAATTTGCTTGCTCATTTTTTCCCTCAAACTCCAAACCCCCAAACACTACCAATGATTCAACAGAAAACAATCCTAGTATATTTTCTATACACTCAAATAACTCTTTTTCCAAGGTGGAGGCAACAGCGAGTTTATGGTCTCTAACACCGCCACCAACAGTAACAATAGTGACACATTGGTGATGCCAATGTCGTCATCTGCACAACCACCATCTGGTAGGTATGTGGATCATCATCAAGATCCATTGGAGGACCTCAGCAAATCCTTCTCTAAAAAACAAATGGGTAGACCCTTAGGCTCTAAGAACAAGCTCAAAACATGCACTATTATCGAGGAAGACACACAAAACATCATAGAGTAGGTAGGGCTTGAGATCCCAATAAGAGAAGATATTGTAGTGAATATAATAAAATACGATCAACAACTTCAACATAACATAATTGTTTCAGGGGTTTCGGTCTTATCTCTAACGTTACCATTCTTGATCCAGTATCCTGTGACCCATTATTATCCATCGAAGAACCCACACATATGTCATCTTTATTTGGAAAATATATAAATCCAAATTTTCCATGTTCTCCTTCATAGTTCATATCTCATTCACCATGTTCCTCTTTTACCGTATACTTGTCTAGTCCTAAAGTATATGTGTATTTAGCCGTTGTTGATGGAAAGATTACCTTTGGTGGTGTTATTTATTTAATGCCACTCTTTCTAGGAAAACAACGTTCCACATGGTAGTCTTCATCAGTAGAAAAGTTTGCGAAATTGATAAAGGTTGACAAACACATGTTGTTGTTGTCATCACCAATGTTAACTAAGTAGAACATGAGTCTGGCAAAAACAACAACCATAATTGTTTAGATACGCCCACAAACTTCAATGGTGTAAATGCTAATTCAACTAAGATGAATTATAAACTTCCCTCTCACTATCTTCCAATGATGGGAATGATATTGATGAGAACATAATCTTGTGAAACTACACCAATCATCTTGATAACTACTAGATAACCAAAGAATGTTATGCATTCCACTTTATTGTACTAGTCCTTTAAAAGTTCAAACATAATAAATTAATTAATTTTTTATGTCTTCTTAAGTGACATTAAATTTTATGTTAGATTACATCTCTACTTATTTCTTTCTACCATTACACGTCTACTTTCGTTTAGCAAATTCAAACAAGAAAATCTAAATTTATTATTATTTTAAAAAAATTATAAAATCTATTAAGTCAACAAATAAAAAATTTAGGAAAATATGAAACTTTTTTATTTTAAATTCAATTCAATAAGACTTAAAAATGAGTAATTTTATTTTCAAACAAAGACTTTGATATAAAAATTATATATATAATCTCTATAATATAATTTTTTTTCTCTCTCCTTATTTAATTATGATATAAATAATAAGCTTTAATATTTTTTTGGTCTTATAAATATAATAAATTACATTTTAACTCTCTTTAAAAATAAATGTAGGTTTCATTTTCCCCAATGTTTTTCTTTATCTTAAAAAGTTTCTTCATTTTGCTATCGATAGAAAAGAGTTACAAAACCAAGGAATGAAATCAGTGGCAAAAAAGAAAAATTTCCTAAAAAACTTATATAACGGAAAATTAATTTTAAAATATTATAAGGATTAATAAGTTATTTAACCCTTAATTATATATCTTATAGAGTGTAGACGTATTTTTCTCTCCTTAAACAACTAAATTTTCTACTAAATAGATAATCTAGAAGGGAGGCTACAATCCATATCTAATAATAATCTAGATGAAAATCCATAATCCAATGGATAAGAACCAAATCTCTCACAGTTACCCTACCACATTATTATTCTCTGCATTATAAAAAACATATCATTAATAATGGCTCACAAAATTTGCATGCTCATTTTTTCCCTCAAACTCCAAACCCCCAAACTCTACCAATGATTCCTCATAAAACAATCCTAGTATATTTTCTATACACTCAGATAACTCTTTTTCCAAGGTGGATGCAACAACGAGTTTATGGTCTCTAACACCGCCACCAACAGTAACAATAGTGACACATTGGTGATGCAAATGTTGTCATCTGCACAACCACCATCTAGTAGGTATGTGGATCATCATCAAGATCCATTGGAGGTCCTTAGTAAATTCTTCTCTAAAAAACAAATGGGTAGACCCTTGGGCTCTAAGAACAAGCCCAAAACATGCACTATTATCGAGGAAAACACAAAAAACTTCATAGAGTGGGTAGGGCTTGAGATCCCAATAAGAGAAGATATTGTAGTGAATATAATAAAATACGATCAACAACTTCAACATAACATAATTGTTTCAGGGGTTTCGGTCTTATCTCTAACGTTACCATTCTTGATCCAGTATCCTATGACTCATTATTATACATCGGAGAACCCATACATATGACATCTTTATTTGGAATATATATATATATATATATATATATATATATATATATATATATATATATATATATATATATATATATATATATATATATATATATATCCAAATTTTCCATGTTCTCCTTCACATTTCATATCTTGTCCACCATGTTCCTCTTTTACCATATACTTGTCAAGTCCTAAAGTATATGTGTATTGAGGCGTTGTTGGTGGAAAGATTACCTTTGGTGGTGTTATTTTTTTAATGCCACTCTTTCTAGGAAAACAACGTTCCACATGGTATTCTACATCAGTAGAAAAGTTTGAGAAATTGAAGAAGGTGGACAAACACATGTTGTTGTTGTCATCACCAATGTTAACTAAGTAGAACATGAGTATGGAAACAAAAACAACAATAATTGTTTACATACGCCAACAAACTTCAATGGTGTACACGCTAATTCAACTAAGATGAATTATCAACTTCCTTCTCACTATCTTCCAATGATGGGAATGATATTGATGAGAACTTAATCTTGTGGAACTACACCAATCATCTTAATAACTACTAGATAACCAAAGACTCTTATGCATTCCACTTGATTGTATTAGTCCTTTAAAAGTTCAGACAAAATAAATTAATTAATTGTTTATGTCTTCTTAAGTGACATTAAATTTTATGTTATATTACATATCTACTTATTTCATTCTACCATTACACGTCTACTTTCGTTTAGCATGTTCAAACAAGAAAATCTAAAATTATTATTATTTAAAAACAATTATGAAATCTATTTAGTCAACAAATAAAAAAATGTAAGCATGTTACAAAACCAAGGAATAAAATCAGTGGCAAAAAAGAAAAATTTCCTAAAAAACTTATATAACTGAAAATTAGTTTTAAAATATTATAAGGATTAAGAAGTTATTTAAGCCTTAACTATACATCATGTAGAGTGTAGATGTATGTTTCTCTCCTTAAACAACTAAAGTTTCTACTGAATAGCTAGTCTAGAAGGGAGGCTACAATCCATATCTAATAATAATCAAGATGAAAATCAATAATCCAATGGATAAGAACCAAATCTATCACATTTGAAACATCTATAAATAAATAGCCTACCATATTGTGATTCTCTCCATTATAAAAAACATATCCCTAATAATGGCGCAAAGCATTTTCTTGCTCATTTTTCCCCTCAAAATCCAAACCCCAAACTCTACCAATGATTCCTCAGAAAACAATCCTAGTATATTTTCTATACACTAAGATAACTCTTTTTCCAAGGTGGAAGCAACAGCGAGTTTATGGTCTCTTACACAGCCACCAACAGTAACAATAGTGACACATTGGTGAAGCCAATGTCGTCATCTGCACAACCACCATCTGGTAGGTATGTGGATCATCATCAAGATCCATTGGAGGACCTCAGAAAATCCTTCTCTAAAAAACAAATGGGTAGACCCTTGGGCTCTAAGAACAAGCCCAAAACATGCACTATTATCGAGGAAGACACACAAAACTTTATAGAGTGGGTAGGGCTTGAGATCCCAATAAGAGAAGATATTGTAGTGAATATAATAAAATACGATCAACAACTTCAACATAACATAATTGTTTCGGGGGTTTCGGTCTTATCTCTAACTTACCATTCTGGATCCAGTATCATGTGACCCATTATTATCCATCGAAGGACCCATACATATGACATCTTTATTTGGAACATATATATATATATATATATATATATCCAAATTTTCCATGTTCTCCTTCACATTTCATATCTTGTCCACCATGTTCCTCTTTTACTGTATACTTGTCAAGTCCTAAAGTATATGTGTATTGAGGCGTTGTTGGTGGAAAGATTACCTTTGGTAGTGTTATTTTTTTAATGCCACTCTTTCTAGGAAAACAACGTTCCCCATGGTAGTCTACATCAGTAGAAAAGTTTGAGAAATTGAAGAAGGTGGACAAACACATGTTGTTGTTGTCATCACCAATGTTAACTAAGTAGAACATGAGTATGGCAACAAAAACAACAATAATTGTTTACATACGCCCACAAACTTCAATGGTGTACACGCTAATTCAACTAAGATGAATTATCAACTTCCCTCTCACTATCTTCCAATGATGGGAATGATATTGATGAGAACTTAATCTTATGGAACTACACCAATCATCTTAATAACTACTAGATAACCAAAGACTCTTATGCATTCCACTTGATTGTATTAGTCCTTTAAAAGTTCAGACAAAATAAATTAATTAATTGTTTATGTCTTCTTAAGTGATATTAAATTTTATGTTATATTACATATCTACTTATTTCATTCTACCATTACACGTCTACTTTCGTTTAGCATGTTCAAACAAGAAAATCTAAAATTATTATTATTTAAAAACAATTATGAAATCTATTTAGTCAACAAATGAAAAAATTTAAGCAAATATTAAACATTTTTATTTTAAATTCAATTTAATAAGACTTAAAAATGAGTAATTTTGTTTTTAAACAAAGACTTTGATATAAAAATTATATATATAATCTCTATAATATAACTTTTTTTCTCTCTCATCATTTAATTATGATATAAAGTATGAGATTTAATATTTTTTTGGTCTTATAAATATAATAAATTACATTTTAATTCTCTTTAAAAATAAATGTAGGTTTTATTTTCCCCAATGTTTTTCTTTATCTTAAAAAGTTTCTGCATTTTCCTATCGATAGAAAAGAGTTACAAAACCAAGGAATAAAATCGGTGGCAAAAAAGAAAAATTTCCTAAAAAACTTATATAACTGAAAATTAGTTTTAAAATATTATAAGGATTAAGAAGTTATTTAACCCTTAATTATACATCATATAGAGTGTAGACGTATGTTTCTCTCCTTAAACAACTAAAGTTTCTACTGAATAGCTAATCTAGAAGGGAAGCTACAATCCATATCTAATAATAATCTAGATGAAAATCGATAATCCAATGGATAAGAACCAAATATCTCACATTCGAAACATCTATAAATAAATAGCCTACCACATTGTGATTCTCTGCATTATAAAAAACATATCCCTAATAATGGCGCAAAACATTTGCTTGCTCATTTTCCCCCTCAAAATCCAAACCCCCAAACTCTACCAATGATTCCTCAGAAAACAATCCTAGTATATAATCTATACACTAAGATAACTCTTTTTCCAAGGTGGAGGCAACAACGAGTTTATGGTCTCTTACACAGCCACCAACAGTAACAATAGTGACACATTGGTGAAGCCAATGTCGTCATCTGCACAACCACCATCTGGTAGGTATGTGGATCATCATCAAGATCCATTGGAGGACCTCAGAAAATCCTTCTCTAAAAAACAAATGGGTCGACCCTTGGGCTCTAAGAACAAGCCTAAAACATGCACTATTATCGAGGAAGACACACAAAACATCATAGAGTGGGTAGGGCTTTAGATCCCAATAAGAGAAGATATTTTAGTGAATATAATAAAATACGATAAACAAATTCAACATAACATAATTGTTTCGGGGGTTTCGGTCTTATCTCTAACGTTACCATTCTTGATCCAGTATCATGTGACCCATTATTATCCATCGAAGGACCCATACATATGACATCTTTATTTGGAACATATATATATATATATTCAAATTTTCCATGTTCTCCTTTACATTTCATATCTTGTCCACCATGTTCCTCTTTTACCGTATACTTGTCAAGTCCTAAAGTATATGTGTATTGAGGCGTTGTTGGTGGAAAGATTACCTTTGGTAGTGTTATTTTTTTAATGCCACTCTTTCTAGGAAAACAATGTTCCACATGGTAGTCTACATCAGTAGAAAAGTTTGAGAAATTGAAGAAGGTGGACAAACACATGTTGTTGTTGTCATCACCAATGTTAACTAAGTAGAACATGAGTATGGCAACAAAAACAACAATAATTGTTTACATACGCCCACAAACTTCAATGGTGTACACGCTAATTCAACTAAGATGAATTATCAACTTCCCTCTCACTATCTTCCAATGATGGGAATGATATTGATGAGAACTTAATCTTGTGGAACTACACCAATCATCTTAATAACTACTAGATAACCAAAGACTCTTATGCATTCCACTTGATTGTATTAGTCCTTTAAAAGTTAAGACAAAATAAATTAATTAATTGTTTATGTCTTCTTAAGTGACATTAAATTTTATGTTATATTACATATCTACTTATTTCATTCTACCATTACACGTCTACTTTCGTTTAGCATGTTCAAACAAGAAAATCTAAAATTATTATTATTTAAAAACAATTATGAAATCTATTTAGTCAACAAATAAAAAAATTTAAGCAAATATTAAACATTTTTATTTTAAATTCAATTTAATAAGACTTAAAAATGAGTAATTTTGTTTTTAAACAAAGACTTTGATATAAAAATTATATATATAATCTCTATAATATAACTTTTTTTATCTCTCCTCATTTAATTATGATATAAAGTATGAAATTTAATATTTTTTTGGTCTTATCAATATAATAAATTACATTTTAATTCTCTTTAAAAATAAATGTAGGTTTTATTTTCCCCAATGTTTTTCTTTATCTTAAAAAGTTTCTGCATTTTCCTATCTATAGAAAAGAGTTACAAAACCAAGGAACAAAATCGGTGGCAAAAAAAAAAATTTCCTAAAAAACTTATATAACTGAAAATTAGTTTTAAAATATTATAAGGATTAAGAAGTTATTTAACCCTTAATTATACATCATATAGAGTGTAGACGTATGTTTCTCTCCTTAAACAACTAAAGTTTCTACTGAATAGCTAATCTAGAAGGGAAGCTACAATCCATATCTAATAATAATCTAGATGAAAATCGATAATCCAATGGATAAGAACCAAATATCTCACATTCGAAACATCTATAAATAAATAGCCTACCACATTGTGATTCTCTGCATTATAAAAAACATATCCCTAATAATGGCGCAAAACATTTGCTTGCTCATTTTCCCCCTCAAAATACAAACCCCGAAACTCTACCAATGATTCCTCAGAAAACAATCCTAGTATATTTTCTATACACTAAGATAACTCTTTTTGCAAGGTGGAGGCAACAGCGAGTTTATGGTCTCTTACAGAGCCACCAACAGTAACAATAGTGACACATTGGTGAAGCCAATGTCGTCATCTGCACAACCACCATCTGGTAGGTATGTGGATCATCATCAAGATCCATTGGAGGACCTCAGAAAATCCTTCTCTAAAAAACAAATGGGTCGACCCTTGGGCTCTAAGAACAAGCCCAAAACATGCACTGTTATCGAGGAAGACACACAAAACTTCATAGAGTGGGTAGGGCTTGAGATCCCAGTAAGAGAAGATATTGTAGTGAATATAATAAAATACGATCAACAACTTCAACATAACATAATTGTTTCGGGGGTTTCGGTCTTATCTCTAACGTTACCATTCTTGATCCAGTATCATGTGACCCATTATTATCAATCGAAGGACCCATACATATGACATCTTTATTTCGAACATATATATATATATACATATATTTATATATATATATATATATATATATATAAATATATATATATATATATATATATATATATATATATATATATATATATATAAATATATATATATATATATATATATATATCCAAATTTTCCATCTTCTCCTTCACATTTCATATCTTGTCCACCATGTTCCTCTTTTACCGTATACTTGTCAAGTCCTAAAGTATATGTGTATTGAGGCGTTGTTGGTGGAAAGATTACCTTTGGTAGTGTTATTTTTTTAATGCCACTCTTTCTAGGAAAACAACGTTCCACATGGTAGTCTACATCAGTAGAAAAGTTTGAGAAATTGAAGAAGGTGGACAAACACATGTTGTTGTTGTCATCACCAATGTTAACTAAGTAGAACATGAGTATGGCAACAAAAACAACAATAATTGTTTACATACGCCAACAAACTTCAATGGTGTACACGCTAATTCAACTAAGATGAATTATCAACTTCCCTCTCACTATCTTCCAAAGATGGGAATGATATTGATGAGAACTTAATCTTGTGGAACTACACCAATCATCTTAATAACTACTAGATAACCAAAGACTCTTATGCATTCCACTTGATTGTATTAGTCCTTTAAAAGTTCAGACAAAATAAATTAATTAATTGTTTATGTCTTCTTAAGTGACATTAAATTTTATGTTATATTACATATCTACTTATTTCATTCTACCATTACACGTCTACTTTCGTTTAGCATGTTCAAACAAGAAAATATAAAATTATTATTATTTAAAAACAATTATGAAATCTATTTAGTCAACAAATAAAAAAATTTAAGCAAATATTAAACATTTTTATTTTAAATTCAATTTAATAAGACTTAAAAATGAGTAATTTTGTTTTTAAACAAAGACTTTGATATAAAAATTATATATATAATCTCTATAATATAACTTTTTTTCTCTCTCCTCATTTAATTATGATATAAAGTATGAGATTTAATATTTTTTTGGTCTTATAAATATAATAAATTACATTTTAATTCTCTTTAAAAATAAATGTAGGTTTTATTTTCCCCAATGTTTTTCTTTATCTTAAAAAGTTTCTGCATTTTCCTATCGATAGAAAAGA